TGTATTAATATTTTTAATATTTATTAAATTAATATTACATGCTAATATTGATATTAATTTAATAAATATTAAGATTATTAGTACAGTAGGTTAGAATTAATATTAAATAAAATTTGGACGCATAAGACTATTTTCCTTTCATTTTTTCTTTTATTTATGGTCCTATTTGAATTCATTTACAAAATTAGATAATTATCCACTTAAAATGAAAATTTCTAAATAAAATAAAAAATAAAATCTTAATCAAAAAGAAAAGAAAGAAAAAAGGTAAAATGCAGAGACTCCAAACTGTGTTATTTGGGATCCCATTCTTGCTTGTGCTCTCGGCTGCTTTTCATACTATTAACCCTAATTTTCCGGAAATTAAGAGTATTAACAACAATCCTCAAAAAGTCAAATTGGCCACCTCTCCAGTCCTTATCACTTAGTTGTGAACCAAAATATCGAAAGAAAAATTATAAATTATTTGTTTGATGCTAATTATCTTTAATTCAGCAGTTGATGTAAATATATTTCTTAATTTTTTTTAAAGCTACCCATGAAAGCCTGCTAAATCTATGGGTGATGGGTTACAGAAGAATGAATTATTATACGACCAAAGTAGCACCTGCTGACCCCAATTTTCCGGCCAAAAAAAAAAAAAAGAAGAGAGAGAGAGAGAGAGACCCATAATTTTAAAATGTCAAATTGGCCATCCTCTCATCAGTTGTTACTTATTTGTGTAACTTGAAATTAAATTAAAAGAAAAAATTTATATAATTTTTGCAATATATCAATGTTTTGTGATGCAAATTATTTAAGTAATTTAGAAACAACATCTGAAAAGAGATGCCTCACAGAACTAAGGGGAGAACGACATAGTGATAAAACAATTTAGAAAAGTAGCACCTATTTTTGAAAAGAAAAAAAATTAATTATTTAATGCTGGGCATTGACCTACCAGTAAGAAGTCTAACATTTATTAGATTAGCATCTCATTTAAATGATATTAGAGACACTAACCCACTGTATCAATTCATAATATTAAATCTACATAAATTAATTTAAGATAGTATGAGCATGATAGTATCTTTTTATTTATTAAAATAGTTAAATTTACTTTATTACCAAAATAGTTAAAAATAACTCTTTTGAAAAGTCGATTCAAACTGAATCAAACATTTTTACATAAGTCAGTTTGAACCAAATCATTTTTTTTTTTTTAGAAGTTGATATGGTAAAAACCAACTTCCTTAAAGATTGATTATTTATAAACCAACTTACTAGGGAAGTCAGTTCAAGGTGAACTGGCTTCCCAAGAAACAGGTCCACCAAGGATGTAGACCATCAAGAGAAGAGGTGCTTTGCACAGAGCTCTATCCCAAATTGTTAAAGAGAAGAGCTCCAGACTAAATTTCCTTCGAAAGTCAATCCTTGGTAAACCGGTTTTATTGAGAAGTTGATTTAAAAATAATTAAAAAAATCGGTTCCCCTTAAACTGAATTTTTTACAAGAGTAGTCTAAACCATTAAGAGAAAAGGAGCTCCTTACAAAACTTTATCCCGGATTGATAGAAAAAGAGTTTTAAACAAACTTTTATTAAAAATTAATTTTTAATGAATCAGCTTTCATAATAAATTAATTCTTATTTTTCTAACTTTTATAAAGAATTTAGTTTGGTTAAAACTAAATCTTATAAAAAAGTTAAATAATCTCAAATCGACTTCTTAATAGAAGTCGTTCTTAATTATTTTAGTCAATAAAGTATAACATAATTACATATACGGATAAAAAATTATTTATCATATTAATATAAAAAAATGGCATATTAATACCTAATAAAGAAAAATTACGTTTAGATGACGTCAAGGAGAAGATATTTGTTGCAGGATCCTCATTTTTCTTTCTTTTGACTCTTGGGGGTCTAATTCCTCTATTTTCAACTAATCATATTCTAGGTCTACGCTGCCCGAACCTCGATGACCTATCATTAGCCATATACCTTGAAATTCTTTTTCACGGGGCAGTAGTAGGCATTTAAAATTTCTGAGGGGTCACTTTATAACCTTAGAAAACTCTAGAGGGCCAGCCTGTATTTATTTTTTTCTTTTTTAAATTAAAACAAAATGGAGGAGGCAATATATAAATTTTTGAAGTTTGGGGGACCCATGTCCCTCACATGTCCCCCTTGGCTTTGTCCCTGCACTTGACCGAACCATGCAAAGGGCAGCTTTATTGAGTTAAGCCGAACGGGAATCCGACACAAACCTTATGGATTGTTTGGTTTATCAGTGTTTTGAATTTGATATTTTTGATTTAGACACCAAAAATTTCAAAAGCAGTGAAATTAGATTTTTAAAAAGAGTTATTTTTTTGTTGAATTTTCATCTATTTTCTTGTTCAATCAATGTTTAATAGTAAAATTTTTTGATTAAATGGTCCAAGAATAATTTATTCAGCTCTTTTTTTATATTAGAATTGATCTAATTGATTAATGACTCTTATATCTGTTGGATCAATCAGATATTTAATATTAATTTAATAGATATTAAAATCATTGATTCAGAAAATCAAGACTAGAATTAAATAAATTTGTTTAAATTATTATTATTATTTTTATGTTATATTTGTTACATCTACCACCGAACTAGCCAAGAAAACAAACGCACCAATCAATGGTCATTCAAAATATGTTGTTAGACCATAAATGTCTTCTTCATTGACCATGGTTGTACTACAACTCCCCCAACTACAAGTAATTAAAACCCTATTCCCCAGTAATTCCCTCAAAAAAATTAAAAAAAAAACCCTAATTGCTACTAACAATTAACTTGGCAAATTAACTATAAAAAGGGTCAAAGAGCAAATGGGTAGCTCAAATTACTCCTGCAATAACTCTTTAATTCCAAGTTCTTCACTCATCATTGGTTTAGTAAAGGGAATTTTGGGATGTAAATTAGTTTCTTAAACTCTTTTAGGAGTTGACATTTTTTTTAATTTAATGAAAGAAAAGTTGATTGTTTTGTATGTTTAGTTTGGTATAAAAACCCTAATTTTAACACAATCAACATAAGTTTTTATTTTTATTGTATATATCAAATGTATATATAAATTTTTTCTTTTTTTTTTTTTTTAAAGAAAGAGCTCTTTAGGAATTTTTTAGCCAACAAGAATCTTGGAAGAGCAATCAAATATATTCAAAAATCTGGGTGCAAAACTTTTTGGGTGACAACAAATTATGGCTCTCAGCTGGTTGAATTTTAATTTAAATTAAATATGAATTTAATCTAAAATTTAGAATTTAAATTTAATTAAAATATTAAGCAAATCATATTCAATTATAAATATTTTTCATTTAGAATAAGTAAATCAGATATAAAATTAAGCAATTTGATCTATTAAATATTTAAATCCAATTTTGAAGAATACTTTTTGTTAAATTAATAATATTACATATGTAAATTAATAAATTCAAAATTTTAGGGATTAGATAGAATCAGAAAACTCAGGTACTAATGTGATTGATAAAATAATGTTGAGAGATTTAAGTATAAAAAAGTACTAATTTTTTCTTTGATTAGATTTTTTATCAAATTTTTAATAATCAATCAATTTTGACCCAAATTAATAGACACATAATTTATAAAATTTTGAACCGATTCGAATATATGAATAAATAATCATATTCAAATTTAAATTAATCTAATTCTATCCCAATCCTACCATTGAACAGGCCAAAACACCCTCTTGTTATCCCGTTTACAACCCCATGGTTTAGCTTCTTTCCTCCTCCACTTGGATAAAAATAGAGTGCTATGACGAGTTTAATTCTTACATTCTCCTCCTTCCTCCTAATAAATAAATAAGAGGTTCACGCATAAAACAAAAGATAGGTCCGTCGAGATGTCGTGTAATGATGCTTTCTCTTTGTTAGATTAATTAATTAATACCGTGCAATCCAAGGGCGGAGATCAAAATGTGCTCATTTGAGTGCGACATTTTTGTAGTATGTTCTAAGCTCTGCATTCTTTTTTATAATAAAACAAAAAATTAAAAAAGGAAATTATAATATAATTCCTGATTAATCTATGCTGCTTATCTTTTCTTAATTGGATGCCCCGCTAATCTCATGCACGATATGTGGGGCATTCTGTGCTCCCTCGCTCGTGGGTCTTCCTTAATTTTGTCATTTTATTTTTATTTTTCTATTTGTAAAAATTATTTTAATTAAATTTAGCAAATTCACATAATTTAAAATTAAAACTTATTATCAAATACATGATTAAACAAGTTAATTCACGAAATAGTAAAATTAGTACAATTTATAAATATTAATAGCTCAAATTAAAATATTTAATTAAATATTAAGGACACGTTTGAGAAAATTTTTAAGATTTGTCTCGTGTTTATAAAATTAAAAGCGTGGAAAAAATCCTATATTCATTTTTTTTACTTGTAAGAAAATGAACGTAAAATATTGTCAAACAGGTCTTTAATCTTTACCATAATATTTATATGGACACACAATTTCTCATTATTGTCACGGCTGCGAAGTCAAGTCATAACGGTATCTATCCGTCCATCCACCGACCACCGACCTACCTCCACCTCCTTAAAATTAGATAAAAAAATTTCAAAAAATTAATTTAAAAAGAATTTCCATATTATATATATGGCTTTCTCTCTCTTCACCATTGAGCTAATGACAACTACCTTTCCATTCCATTTTCTTTCGCCCCCACACGCCACCACTCACACCCCTGCTCTACCCCGTCTTTATTTTCCTTCGAGCCAAACAAACAAAGACCCAAATTGCGAGGAGGAAGAGAGAAAGGCAAGCATCTAAAAACTGAAATAATTCGCAATTTCAGCAATCCAATTGCCGGGAGAGGAATTTTGTCGGTGCGATTTATTTCTCCTGAGGAGAAATCGACGTGGGGGCTTGCCCAGATGACAAAGAAGCCCTGAGCCCTAGTCGCCTCGTTGCCAGAGGGCTAAGATACAAGCCCTTCATTTTACAGATGTCGTAATTTCTCTCTCTCTATATAGATCGCAGAGGCTAGAGAAAGAAGAACTGCAGAGACAGAGAGGGGGAGAGATGGAGATAGGGGTGGGGGAAGAGGAAGAGCTGCGAGAGCCGTACAAGGGGATCCGGATGAGGAAGTGGGGCAAGTGGGTAGCCGAGATCCGAGAGCCCAACAAGCGGACGCGGATTTGGCTCGGCTCGTACTCCACGCCTGTGGCGGCGGCGCGGGCCTATGACACCGCCGTGTACTACCTCCGGGGACCGTCGGCGCGGCTCAACTTCCCGGAGTTCCTAGCTGGAGAGGCCGCCGCGCCGGCGAGTTGTCGGCGGCGTCGATACGAAAGAAGGCGATAGAGGTAGGCTCGAGGGTGGATGCGCTGGAGACCTCGATGATGACGGTGGTCCATGACCGTGAACCCGGATCAGGACGCGGACTCAAAGCCGTTGGTTACAGGGGAAGCTCGACTTGAACCAGTTGCCCGAACCAGAAGACTCGGATTCCGGTGACGCCTGGTGAGTCGGGACCCTATCCGGCAAGTCTCTAGAGAGTTAGAAGAGGAATTAGCAACTTTGGGGTGGTAATGTTGTCTCTTTACGGTCTTTGTTTTTTTCCTTTTTCCTTCTTTTTTTTTTTTTTTTTTTTTTTGATGTGGGCAAGGAAGTTTTGTTACTGTTAACGTGTTGAGAAGAGTTAATGTAAATACTTGACTTCTAGTCATTCTGCTTTCCTTATTTCCTTAAAATTTATTTTAAGTATAAGCCATGAAGAGAAGCAGCTTTTTCCGACGGAGGCTTGGTGGTGTTTTGGTGGTTGTCGTCGGTGCGGGGAGGGGAAGGGGAAGGGACCTTCTCTTGTTCTGAGTTGGATTTGCAACCCATTTGCGATTGGTACTATTTTATCTACATGTCTGTCCAATTTGCTGCATTTTTTTGGTTTTTAAAAATAATACAAAATATAAATATAATTTCTTAACTTAAAAAGAATAAAGAACTTTCAGAAATCTGTTAAATATACTCAAATAAATTCTATAGAATTGTTAAATCCTGCTAATCAAATTTCCTCTAAACCTAGAAGCAGAAATTATAATAATAATAAAATAATAATAATAATAATAATAATAATAAATTTTTTAAGAACAGGTGTGATAAGATTGGGGTTAGGTAATCCTGTGTAAACTGGAGCTGATTCTGGTGGCAGGGGATTGGGGACACTACAGGCCGCACCACAAAAATGACCGAATGAGAGTCGCATTGTCGTCTCATATGAAACCGACGCAATCATAAAAAAATTTGGATTTTTTTTTGATAATATAAGAAAATTAAAATACAAGGGCAAAAAAAATTAGGAGTCAAAAATTGAACTTTTAATATTTGTATAAATCGTATTCTGTCACTTAAATCATGTATTGAACTCAGGCAGCGTGAGACTACAAATGGGTTTGGCAGTATTAATTTTGTTTTTACTGTAATTAAATTATTAATAAAATTTTAAATATTTTAAAAATATGAATTTTACGGCCTAAAATATAAAAAAGTTTTTTTTTTAATATTGGGTCGATTAAAAATAACTTGTATTCGATATCAAGACTAAACTTGTGGATTAACATAATAATTTTTTTAAAAAAAATCTCGTTTAAAACAAATATTATAAAATATTTTTAGACAGTGACACGTGTACTGAGCAATGATACGGTGGTGCGGGAGCATATGCTTATAAATCATTGTTGGTTCATTATTTCCACGACCATCTCAGAAAGGTCAAGCATTAGCGGGTGTTGGGTTTCGCAACGGGCTGTAGCTGTTTTGACTTGCTTCAACCATCTCCTTTTCAATTACAAAAGAAGCGAAAGTCGCTTTTGAATTTTAGAAGTTGATTGATTTTTGTTTCTTAAAATTTCAAAAACTAATTCAATCAAATAATAATTTATGAGAAAATGAGTGCAAAATTCAAAAAGTCGATGTGCCTAAGAAGACGTAGGCCCCTATGCTTGGAACATCTCTACTTGGAGTTGAATAACCCTCCATTTCTTTATTTCATCACATGTGACCCATTAATTTCACATTTTCAATTTATCAAATTACATTTATGTTGAAAATTCAATTTCCAATATTTTTTTTTTAAAACAAGGAGTGCAAAATGCTGAAGGATGGAAAAATGTAAAGACTAAGGTTCAAAATTGAAAACTTCTGATTGTCAAAACCTTTGATCATCAAGTTTCATGGGATTTAAAATTAAAAAAGATACAAATAGACTAATAAGCAATTAGCAATTTCAAGTTTTATTTTACGAGAACATATCTAACATATTTTAACAACTCATTAATTAAAAAAGGAGAAAAATAATTTTATCCCTTAAGCTTTTTCCTTTTATCTTGTTAATTATTAACTGAATTATTTACTCTTTATAAAATTAACACTTTTAAACTGGCCATTATATTAATTATTCTAACAACTCATTAATTAAAAATGATTACTTTTATAAAATTAATTTAAATTATTTACGTAACCTAACTAAATAAAAAGTTGTTAATTATGAATAAATAATTTGAATTTAGTAAAAATTATTCAAGAATTGCAATTTAAAACTAACCTTGTGTAATAACATTTATTATCCATTATAACATAATAACTTAAATTTTTAAACTTTTGACAATGAACTATTTTATTAGTAATATTTAAAATTAGAAGGTTCATAAATAAATATTACAACACATTAATATTATTAGTATTCACAAAAATAAATGATGTATTATAAAATTTATGAGATAAATAAGATAAAAAAATTTTAAATGAAAATTAATTTTTACTCAATAAAAAAATAACATGAATTTTTTCTTTTACTCGAGAAAAAACCCCTCCCATCTTTATTTCATTTTTGTTTTGGGATGGAATAGGAAACAATGGTTCACTAGAATTACCAATTTTAGGACTCTAATTGCCTAATAGGGAAAGCGTGGAAGATTCTTTACATGATGGGGGGTTGCCCGCCTTAGGTTTTATTTCGAGTGTGCAGGAAACTGGGGAGTGTTTTGTCAATTGGTCTGACACTTCTCGTCTTTCAATGCTTTTGCCTGTCCAAGTGTGAAGCAAGAATTGGATTAGTTAAACTTCACGTATTCAACGATTGCATTAAACTTCACACGTTCAAGGATTGTGTTAGATACTGTCACAATAAGTGAACACTTAATATCAACTTTATCAGCAAGAAAACGCTTTAGAGTTCATGCTTGTCAACTATTATTTTTTCGCTTATCATTTCCAAGAGGCCCAGCTCCTAAGAATTTTGTTTCATGTTCAAAGATTTAGTGACAATTAAAATTTAGGAAGTGTTTGATATTAAAATTAATTTTGAGCCCTTAACTTTTTTTTACATTTTCAAAAATTCAATTCCCTGACCTCTTTCAAATTTTAAATGTGGAATTTTCTTCTTTTTTTTAATAGAAAAAGCCAAAAGGACTCACTATTTTCATTAAAAAAAAAAAACATATACCCACCCCATTGATCTAAAGATGACTTGTGAGAACCCCACATCCACCCATGAAATTTTACGAACTTGTTGCGATGAGAAATTAGTTTTTAATGGACAAACCAAGCACCCAAAGACAGATTTTTGATTTTCTAATGAAAAGCCAACTTTTTAACTTTAAAGCCAAACTTTTGGCCAATTTATTTGGTGTCTGGTTTTGCATTGGTTGGAAAAAATAATAATAATAACAATAATAATAATAATGGTATAACAAACTAGACTTACTTTTATTATCATGTTAGGTGAGATTATGTCTCTTCTATTTATCTTTTAAAGTGTGACTGCGTAAGTAGTTATACTGATAAACCATTTTCAACCAGGAATCTCAGAAACCAGTTTTTTTTGTCTCTTCTCCCAGACCTTGACACTTATCTACCGTTTTCCATGTTCATGCCTTGTTGGATCCCTGACTTTTTGGTGAAACATATTAACCACTTTGAAGATTTTTCATGCTTCGACAAGTACCGTTTTGGGAAATTAAAAACAAGAACAAAGCAACACATAAACACATCCCACTATACCAAAATTTAAATTTACTTTTCATGTTTATTTCTAAATTTGTATTAAGTACATATTAATATTAATATTTAAATTTTGTTAAAGACTAATCTCTTCTTATATTTCGTTCAATTTTCATTTATATAGAGTGATTGTTATCAATATTATCAATCTAACTCAACTTGTCTCGTTTGTTATAATCTCTCATATTTTGTAGACAATTAATACTTGCGCAAATTTTCTTGCTAAGTCAGGGGTTGATTATTTTGCTAATTTTATTATACTGGCTGAAACCCCGGCCCCCCCTCCCAAAAAAAAAAAAAAAAACTCAAGAGCCTTCTCTACCAGCCGACGTCGAAGGTAAAGTTTATTTTTATTTATTTGTCATTTGTTTCCTTTTGTACCAATAAAGGTCATATGTGAAACGAATGTTTTTTTTTTTTTCTTAATCTTGTCATTTTTTACAAAATATTTATATTTCCCTTAACAAATTCATGCGAATTGTGTTAGGTAGCCCATTTTTTGTGCTTAACACTTGGGGCACAGTTTACAGAAATACCCACGTCAATGGACAATGGAACAGAACATTCACATGGCCACAGAGCATTCCGTGAAAAAGTGATTTGGACATGAGCATGAAAAGAGAAAATTAATGAATCTGAAATAGAGGAGGTAGATTGGCAAGCATGCATGGCCAGCTAGATTCTACTGGAAAAAGAAAGGATCCTATAACTATCATTAACATGACAAAATTAAAACGGTCCACCAGTTTCAAGTGTGAAAATAAAAAAATCAAAAGGAAGAACCCACAAGAAAAACCAAAAGGCAAGTCCCAATCAGACGGTTGAGCCGAGATGTGAATGTCTGATGTCATATGTTTTATATTGTTTTGTGCTGTGTTTGAATCTCAGATTTTCCACGTTTCATACTTCAGCATCTTGAAAATGGACAAAAACGACGCGGTTTTATGGGTCTGAACCATTCATGAAAACGTGAAGGCACATAATACAGCCATCTATTTAAAGATTTAGAAAAAGAATAATAATAGTATAACCGGGCGGGGAGGACAGAGTGCACGAGACAAGTCCAGTCACCAACCACTTGAGCAAAGATAGAAATTTCATTTTATCTAATTCAACTTTGAACATGTTTAACACTCGGCCCAAATTGTTCAAGTAGAATCTAACTCATATATATAACCTAATTGCTTTAAAGGAAACAAAGTGATTTAGACTCATGTTTAAATAGTGTTCTATAAATTTGAATTAAAGGTCATTAAAATAGATATAAAAATGATTTAGGTTGACAAAGTTTACAGCTCAAAAGGGCCACCAGGACAACCCTCCTGCTCTTTTCACAGAATTTGTATTTTTTTCCTCATCAAACTATTAATTTCAAATATTTTTTTCTTTTGAAAAATGAACCATTTAAAAATTGGGAACACTCCAGACTCTATCCACTTATAGTGAGGATCAAAATCCGATTGAGGTATCCAAGCATGGACACAACCTGGGGATTCTCAAGTCAAGGCTACCTGACACATCCTCAATTTGTTTAACAACTACAATGACTAGTTTCCTCCTATCCTTCAACAACTAGCCTGGTCACAGTGACTTGGAAAGAGACAACCAACAGTAATTCTAATGCCCACCAGTTTCATGTTCTGTTGAATTCAAATGCAACAAAATCAAGCTTGGTCTCACATGAACCGAGACAGATATGGTTTTCCTTGCTAGCTGACACGTGTACCTCTCACATCATAAAATAACCAAATGCGGGTCTCACATCTGCTGATGTGTCCATGCTATGAAATAGTTGCGTCGAGTCTAGGTGTCCCCAGTCTTAAATTTGCCTCTATATATATGACGTCGTAAGGGCGTATATGCTGATGTTTCATACATGTTCACCCCAAAATTTTACACTTAATACATACAGGTAAGGTCATTCAATCTTAAGGTTGATAAGACTTGAAAGAATAATTCGGCCTGCTGGATTGAAATCCCATGTGTCCTCAAAAATGAGTATATTCCTCAACATCATGCTTCGGTAGCATGCTTAATGTGAAGGGCTGCTCTAATGATGTTTCCTCTTGTAATAATCCCAACCTTCAGTAAGTTATAGTTATTCAATATGTCATGAATAGCATTAGGTAAAAGATTTTTAAGAAATAAATGAAACGGTTTGAGGACGGAAAACAGAGAAAAACTTACCAGCTTACCCTCCCCATCCACCACAGGAAGTCGACGATATTTGTTTTCAGCAATAATCTGAAATATCAGATAAGCAGCTCAGAATGTGAATACAGGCATAAACGCAAGGGTAGTTAGAAATGAAAAAGACAATAAACGGACAAAGAATGTGAAAACCTAGCAGCATCCTCCAGATTAGTGGATTCACGAACAACTACTGGTGCTGGTGTCATTAAATCTCCAACCACTTGCCCATTGGTTTTACTAAGCAATCTTTGCACCTCGTTAAATGTCTGCAATGGAAATCACATATATTCAAAAGCTTAAGTTAGAGAAATGCTTTAATAGCCAAAAGAAGCAATAAAGAAGCGAACAGAAGAACACCCTATCACTTCTCCAATATAATTAAAAGAAGAGAGAATAAGAGGAACGATCGCAGCAATTGGATAATATGCCAAGACTAGACCATCAGATTCTAATGAAGGGCACTCCAGTGCACAGCATCCCAACCATGCAATTGAGTGATCTTAATGCGCCAAGGTTCAATTCTATTTAAGATGTAAGCTAAAAAAGAAATTATATAACTTAACAGACAATGGGAAGCAATCTTCAAGGGCAAAAGTCATGCCATTTTTAATTTTTGTGGAAGGATTTAAAAGTGTATTTGGCTGGGATCTCATTTATTTAAGAGTTGGAGATTGCTGAAGGTTCTGTCTCTTTTGATTACAGATCTTTAACAAACAGATGACAGGAGAACTGCATTTGATTTTCTTTGGTGTTGGATAAAAGCCAAGAAGTTCATGTTTAGTCTTGTTTGTTTAAAATGGTAATAGAAGATTTTGTGGCTGCATTTTCATGTTTACCTAATAAATTTGGGTGGATTTATGTGGGAGCAGGAATATTGGAATAGTAGACACACTTCCCACCACCCCAGGTCATGGTGCTCAAACCCTGTCCTTCCTCTCCCCTATTGTTGAACTCACATGAGCATGCACACACACAAACACACAGATCTAGTGCAAAAGCTTACTCTAAACAAATATGACTCTTACATACCTTCCAAGTGCTGTCAACTTCTGGGAACATACTTGTTTCGGCCTGTCCGCCACCTAGAACCAAAAAAAGGAATTGAAGTGAAGTGCCATTTCGGAATTGACATCCAATCTTGATGCATGGAAATTTTCTTAAGTTCCTTGTAATAATTTGATAACCCCAAATAGATGGAACACCCCAAAGAACAAACTACATGAAACTAAAGTTTACAAACTTGAACATAATTTTGCTACTAAAAAGAGAAGGGTATACTTGTTTCTGGGATATATGTATCTATTGATTCTCAAACACATCATAAGACAAGTCATACAGTTACTATTAAACAAAATCATAACACAATTGTTGACCTCAAGGCCTTTAAGATGACTGATGATGATAAAAGACATTTAACATTTTATATTTTATGCACATGAAATTATAGATATGATCATAGTTGTTTATGGCGCATAGCGCACCATAGTGCAAAGGGCCACAGCAGCATAGCGCATAGCAAATAACGTGGCTATTCGGTAAAATAGCACAAAGTATATACTATAATATATAATAATAATATATATGAAAAACATTCTTAATAAACATTAAAAGCTTAACTAATATTGAAAACTAAAACATCCAACAATCATAAACATTCAATGGCATATCAAACAAAGGGCTGAAATTTGCTGGAAAAGCAAAGAATCAAAAGAAGCATTATCATATTAATCTGTAATTTACTGGAAAAGCAAAGAATTAAAAAAGTATTATCATATTAATATCAATACGTAATTATTAGTTTCATTTGCTAACAAATATATTAAATATTAATGAAAAACATAACAATAACTTATGGTGTTTACTCACGGAAGAAACCAACAGATAACCTGCTGGTCTGGGCTATTGACAGAGAGCAAGCCTGCATGCTAAGCTCATCTAGGCTGGTCTGGGCTATTGTCAGAGAGCAGACGAGAGAGAAGAAGCTCTCGCACAGCTGTCTGGGCTCGAAGGGTGCCTGCATGCTCAATGGAGGTCGGTCTAGGGCTCAACGGAGGCGGTGATGAAGAATCACTACTCCTGCGATACTGGTCTGGGTTTGAATGGTTCCTGCATGCTCGATCGAGGTGGGTCAAGGGCTCGACGAAGGCTGATGAAGGCTCAGGACTCCTGTGATGCTCAGTCTGCGCTCGAATGGAGATGGCGATGCTTGATGGATGGCTCAATCGCTTGGCTTCTAGGGCTCGATGGAACGACTCAGTAGAGACCAACAGGGCTCAATCGAGAGCTTAAAGCGAGGACCCGAGTCTGACACATGGACCTAGGGCTTTCGGGTGTATTAAACTAGCGATTCCATTGTAGCGCAGATTGCACGCCCTAAGCAGGTAACCCTATAGTGCAGATAGTGCACGCTATGCATCGCTATCTGACCATCGCTACAGTATGCCTATTCTGTAGCGCATCATACTATAGCGCTCGCTATGTCGCTATAGTGAGCGCTATTGATAACAATGGATATGATAAATAGGAAAGACAAGCACATGGAATTTCAAGGAGATTAGTAAGTCATATGAAAGATTGTTAAACCTCAAAAAAAAAAAAAAAAAAAAAAAAAAAAAAAAAAGGAGAGAGAAAGAAGAAATGATAACGGGTCATTGAATAGATCGTGAAACTGATTGCAAGATCAACCTAAGCTTGAAGGTGCAAAAGATGACCGCTCTAGTACTTAATTCATTAAAACACTAGTAATAAGTCAAGTTCACAAAAAGACTTACCTGAAATGACTTTTGGATTCTTAGTAAAAACAGACACCACACCCAGACAATTAGGTACAACTAGACCTCAACCTGTACATGCATCACATTATGAGGAGAAATTACTTTGGATTCATGTTGTTGGCCAAATATGTTTTAACAGGAATACATTCATCTTCAATTAGTTCGAAGAAAGTACAAGAGCCTAGTTTCAAAAACAACATCCAGTAAGATGAGTTTTCTGGACAAAGTTAATATCACCACTAGATAGAACAAGGCCATCAAGCATTCAAGCTGATCCATCCTTCAATGGGAGTATGATCATTATACCTATGACATCCGGGTTTTTCTACTTATTATGAAAGTGCATAAAGCATTTAAAAGAATCAAATACGTAAGATAAACATATAATTAGCAAGCAAATGCATTCCAAGAAACATAAAGAAAGTATTAAGAAGGCACAAATAATTATATGAAATATTAGGATGTTCAAGAAACATAAATCTTATGTACAAAATGTGCAATATATAAATAATTGCTAAGGTGAAAAAATACCTAATTGATAAACAAACCTTTAAGAGGCCAAAAAATTGAAAATTTTAAGGGGTCCATTAAGTAATTTTACAAGGGGACATAGAAGAATAGAGAACTTTTATGGGAGCAATCTCCCTTAAGCTCTGCACATCAACTCCAGCCCCATCATTGAGAGTCACAGGACTTGCAACCTGCCTGGACCAGGGTGAAGCACAACGATTTGCCTTGCTACTTCTTGTACCTAAATGGCATCTCTTTGTGCCTTGAACAAATATGCCTAGAGAAGACCTAAATTCTAGAAAACACTATAATGGATCAGCTCATTAACCCAACTCATTCTCCTAGTACATTAGAAAAACATTTAGTACTTGTTTCAAATTGACACCCATCTTTAAGAATGATTGACTTAACCTTGTTACACTGTTGTAGTTATTAATTTTTTTGGACACTCGGAAAGTTAAATGACAGACAGTTGGGCCATTAAATCAATTACTGTTAAGATCAGTTATTGTACAAAAATTTCAAATTCAATTGGAAAGAGAACACATGGGAAAGAACTAATATTTCAGATTTTTAAACAGTTTTATCTCAAATTTGGTTGAAATTTCATTGGTAGAAAGTTGAGTCCTGTATTGCACAGTCTCCACTTTAGATACACTGAACACTATTTGTAAATCTTGCTCAAAAGGGAGTATAATTTTATTTATCATTTCTCAACTGTTTTAAATTAAAAAAAAAAATGTTAGTGTACCCTTCTGAAACTAAAAATGCAGGATTATATCTTGAAGTTGTACTAACAGGTTGATGCCAGCCAAACCAGTCAATTTATGAGGATCTTGATTCTCACTCTTCAAATGACTCAAGAATGGAAGTTAACTTTAACCAAAAATCTTGGGGTAGAAATAACATCTAGTGAACACGGCACTAATCATCAAAACATGGTAAGGCTATATAAAGGAGCATCTAAGGCTCTAATTATAGAAACCCCAAGTCAAATGGTTAATGAATATTGTGACAATTTCAGGTCAGGGGTAGAAGCTGCAAAGTCAAGTCCTATGTTCCCCTCCTTTGTCCCTGCCATATATTTCATGGGAAGTGCATCCAGAGATTGCTCTATAATGTAAAATAACATGATTCACACAATGTGAACTATTAATGAGTGGGATCATCAGTCTAAAACTAAAAACGCAAAGATATCATCAATGCATAGCCCTTAAACATGGATGTCAGACGCTTTAATACAACTTTCCTTTAAGAAATTAGCTAACTAGCCATAGGAAGAAAATTTTCCTTTGTAGAAATAAATAAACAGATAACATTGTTGTCATTAAAAAAAAAAAAATTATTAAGTGTTACAAGCCAGGTTGTTAAACATTAAATAAAAATAAGAAAATCAAGCAAAACAAGATCTATAAAAGCATTAAAAGAAGGAAATGAAACATTAAAGATACAGAGAATATCTACTAACTTCCAACTCATGAATTTACGGAGTTTATCTAATACAATTGATGATTCTTAGACAATCAAAACAAAGATATCAGAATCACAAAGTCCTTGATTCAAATTAGTATTCTGCAACTTGAGGAAGTAGAAATGAAACTAACACCAACTTGTAAATTGTGCAATATAAAATTACATTATCTAACCAAAATATCTACAGTAGGAGTAAATTACATGATTTATAAGTCATTGCCTTAGCTAAGGTCAATAAAGAACCTTGTGATCAAAAAATAAATTAAATGTAAGATCACCTTCTTCACCATTGGGTGAAAAAAGTCAATAAAAACTTAAATATTGGCAGTTTAAAATCAATTTGTCAAGTAGTCAGTTAATGCAGCAACTGTTGGAAACTCAAGGGAAATGACATTGGCAGGAAAGGGTTTGAGCAAATTAATAAATGGGAAATATTGTCAAAGTTGACAAAACAAGTAGCCACAATCCACTTCAATGGGAATCTGGACTATCAAAGCTCCCGTAAGTTCAAGGATGAAAGGACACCAGACCACAATGAGAGGTGAAGATCATATTCAAAATAAATAAATAAAATAAATAAATACATAAGCCCAGACATGATGATATCAGAGCACAACACATAACAAACACATTATATATTAGAGGATTGAATTAAAATATTTTTCCACTCATACATGATGAATGGATTGGCACAAACCAAGGATCAATTTTAGTTTTTCTTTTAGTGCGTTGTTTCAGTTGGTGTGGAAATGGATAATATTCGGAAACATATGGAAATGGTTTGAGATATTTCATGAGAAATAGAATAAATTTATGTATGTTTGGTTCCATCAAATTATATAAAGATCTATACTCGACTTATTAAACAAACTGAGAATTCACTATCAATTAACACAAGTCAGCAAGTGTAGAATCAGATGAATAAATGCCGATATAGACTTATAAATGATTATTTCAAAATTTTAAAATTTTCCATACCCATTAAATCTCCGGGTCTGTTTGAGCATATTTTTGTATGTTTTGAAGTGTTTAAATAATAATAGTTTCATTATTCACTGATGTTTCATTTCTGTCCTCTTGGAAACAGAAAATCTTAGGCGTTTCAAGGAAACAAATGGAAATTTTGTTCTTTGGTACTGACAAATCTAAGCAAACAATTATAACAAGCAAATAAGAAACTTTGGCCATCAACATCCTAGCACATCATAAAATAAGGTCAGATTGAGCTTGACTTACCAGATATGGAGTCCAAAGCTAACAAGTCATAATCAGAAACAAGGCCAACCTGCATCAAAGAGAACATTTCAGAAATCATCCAAGCACAATAATATTTCCTGCATCAGTGTCATCACTCACAAATAAATACACCAAATTTAGGTAGGATAAGAAAATGTAAGAAAGGGAATGGCAGGTTAAGTAACCATTTGATAGAGAATACATAAGCTATCCACCATTATGCCTGAAAGACTTTGCAAAACAAAATGTCTTTGTCAAAATGCCATAGGTGCTTGTAAAGCAAGATCTAAATAACTAATAACTTGTATCCTTTCTTGCTTCAGTGTAAAGATCCATGACCAGCAACCCTAAGGATTCTTCAGTTTAATAACATTAAGTCTGTTACATGTTGAGAATTCAATTCTACATGATGAACCTCATTATCTTCCTTGGGTTTATTAAAGCTCAAATTAGCCACTGATAATTAAAATAGAGAATCCATTCTGCATGATCTTCCTCTTGGCTACCTAAAACTTCAGACTAGAATGACTGAACAAAGTTTATAACATAAAAATAAAGTGGATTTTTTAAAATCAATTTTGGCTTGACATTTACTAAATCCTTCCAGATAAACCAATACCTTGACTAAAGTATTAACATCTTGTTAATGACCTATAAATCTTTATGATTTGCAGGATCTACTAATCAGACTAGTCAAGATCACAACTCCATAAGTTGAAAACATGCATGGTTAGGAATGGTTTGAAGCTACTGTCTTTAACAGTTTATGACTGCTGAAAAAGAAAAACATCTAAGCCAATTACAAATGGAGCCTAAAATAACAAAATTCAGCATAAATGTTCAGCTGACATAACATCACTGCACATAAAATGCAAATTTAAGGCTTAAAAGAATCCATAAGAGAAAAAGTATCAATATTCAAATGTCATAATCTCAAGCTTGCATGAACAAACCTCGTCTAAAAAGTTGACAACCAGAGGCAAATAATTCAAACATTATAAGTCAACAGAAGTCAGGACTCAGTATAAGGTTTGCATGAAGATGAGGGTCTCGTCCTACTAAAACAAGAATCCTATAATCATGGAACTTAGCCATCAAATGCACACTAAAATCCAAGAGGAAGGCTAAGCAAGACAAGAAGTGGGGTGAAATATTGGTCTCCATGGCTTTAACATTCAAACGTGAATTGTAATTTGCAAACCTTTTATATTAAAAAAAAAAAAGGAAAAAAGAAAACTATGGTGATAGAAAATTTATTAATGAAAGAACTACCTCGATGCCAAAATTTTAATTCTTCTAATCTTTACAAAACAATTGGCAAGTTGTGCAGTTTGTGAGTGTGAAACCATGTTGTATATAAGATTCTAGAGACTATTACTGAACAACATGAGCTTAAGCATTCTGGGCCAGTAGTTCAGGCTCATAGTGACTCTTGGGTCGTTACAAATAATATCAGAGCAACAGATCATTGGGATCTATGTTGTTTGAATATAAATATGGATTTGTGTGTCCCACGTTGGTTTTTAAGTGCGAAATTATATAAGACTTTTAAGAGTTATTACTAAACAATTTGGGCTAAAGCATTTTGAGTTAGTGATTCTGACTCAACAAGTTGGTAAGGTAATCACTCTCAAGTTATTACAAGATGTGTTTAAAAGAAAAGAGTCCACAATTCTTGCCTAAACACTAATTCCTCAAACATGCAAATGCAAGACACAAACCCCCCGCCCAAAACCAAAAAGAAAAAATAAAGAAAATAAAAAGAAAAAGAGAAACTTTCTTGTTTCACATAGCCATTTCTAATTCATTGCAAGTAATATACTAACAAAAATTGAATCAGTAGCATAAAACAAGAACAGTAGAAGGAATATACCAGCTTCCAGTCATCATCAATCACAGGGAAACCAGTTATTCTTTTCTCTACTAGAATTTCCAAAGCTGTTTACAAATTAAAACATGTGAGATAGAGGACAATTAGCATTAAGAAATCTGAAAGCAGAACTAAAACACCAAAGACCTTCATCCACGCTTGTTGTGGGCTTTACCACATGTAAATCCTCTTTTCTAGTCATGAAATCACCCACAGTATAAAATCCACTTCTTGGCTGCAAAACAACATATCAAAGAGAAAAGTTACATGCAACCAAGTTCTTTGCTGATTTAAAAAAAGAAAAGAAAAGAAAAATAAAAAACCTTTTCAATCTTAACATACCAACAAAAATCACATTCAAAGCCATAAAAGAACCATAAATTTCATTTACAATTGGGGAAAAGGCCAACCATTAATAAGAAAGCCATTGAAAACATTTCCTTGTCACTTAAACATCATGTTAAGTTCCTCACACTAAGTTTGGGTCTATAGCAGTTAATCATTCATCTGGCATAACCAGTCCTACACATAGTTACCAAGATCACAGTATGGTATAGAATGTGGGACAAGTACAGGTACATGGTTTATCAATCACTTTCGTACGGGGTACGGGGGGATAAGCTTATTCAGAATGTTATTTCAGGACATGGTACGGTTAGGAGTTATAATCTGGGTCGTTCATATATATGTTTATGTATACATAACTATGGACATGTTTTTAATTTCTAATTATCAAAGAATAAGAGATGGTTAATAAATAAATAAAAAAAAAGAATTCACATCAAACCATACATTAAAACATATAGATTAAATTTTAGTTTTGTTTTGGAAAAAGAATTCTTAATAAATGCATTATATTCATTAAAAAAACTGGTGGAAGGTTTAATTTTCAGCATTTGTTTGGGAAAGGAATTCTAAATAAATGAATCATATTCCCTAAAAAACCTATTGGAATTGGAAGGTTTAATTTTCAGCCTTTGTTTTGGAAAAGAAATTTTTAATAAATGCATTATATTCCCTAAAAAAAAAGGCCTTGAAAAGTTTAATTTTCAGCCTTTATTTTGGAAAAGAAATTCTTAATAAATGCATTCCTTAATAATCCCTACACTCTAGGCTAATTACATTCTATTCAAAAAGAAAAAATTGTCTTGGATAAAGTGAATTCAGGACACTGCAAATAACAATCTGGGTCGAGAACACACCACGAATTGAGTTGCTCGACCCAGATCGAAATTCCCTAGGGGTAGGGCGAACCACATAACTGTGGTCCTACATAACAAAAATATACACATCAGTGCAATGTGCTTTCCACTTATTACCAACCTCATCTACCATGCTTGATGTCATTTGTTACGCACACAGCATGAAAGATTACTTAACTGAAAGAATTGATGACATAGATAATATTAAAAAAAACAATTTTAAGCACAGATGAATGATAATTAAGTTTCAATAATGTCCATGACACAATTTCTTGAGTTAAAAAACAAGAAGCAACTAAGTTGCCACAAAAAGGTCTCCCTCCATAACAACAAGCTACTAAGTCACCATCAATTCCATGAGCAACCATGCTCATCCAGCAATATATAGTGAATTAATAATGTTCTCTAATGACAAGCAGTGTCCTTTATCCAATCTGGATAAATATCTACGCATTCAACAGAAATGAGTTTTGATTGATGGTAGTTAGTAGAGCTCCAAACTTAGTTCAATGTGGTGAAAGTGACTGCTGAGTCAGCTCCACCAATCATCATCCAACCAATGATTTGACATGAATCTGCTTGAAGAAGTCTCCAAGCTTTATTCTTTGTGTAGGCTGGCTGAGGTGCCAGTCCCCATTAGACACCAACCTATGGTCACCTCAAATGATGTAAGCAAATAGTAGACCACAAGTGACCTAGCTTTGAAACACCAAATGACAAGGTTGGACCTCGCACTGTTCTGAAGAATTGGTTAGGAAGACCAATTCTTTATGACAGATAATCAATTGGTGTCATGACATGGAGTGAGGCCTCCAAAGCCAGATACAGAAAACATAAAAAATTTGTGGCAAGCTGGGCAGCAATCCATGACCAAACGTTCTACAATAATGCATAATGCTTAGCTTTTTAACAAACTTGAATCAAAGTTCTGTCTTGACGGGGTTTCATTCAACCTGGAACAGAGAATACTTCAGAATCATTTGGGAAAATGGAAGGAACGCTCACATAGTAGGAAGCTTTGCGGCCAGGGTAAAGCTAGATTACAATCAAAATACAACATAAAGAAACAGTGACAAGACTTAGAAGATCAAGAAAGCCCAAACAAAAATTTCAGCTAGATCAGTGAATAACATGTCAAAACCCAAAATCATTGAACCAAAAGGAGCTTCATCACCCAAAAATTGGAATTCCAGCACCATTAAAGGTAGCCTACACAAAGAACAAAGTCCGAAATCCTATACACATCGGAAGCCAAAGATAACGGGGAGAAACATATGCCCTGAGTCTCCATTCATTCAACAGCAGATCGAATGTGAATAAGTCCAGAGGAGAAATCACGGGTTCTAGAAAGCCGAGCAATTGCAGTGCATAAAGTTTAAACCATCAAAACTATGGCGAAGCAAAATTGACTAAGGAAACAAAATGAATCAACGCGACTGGACTCCGGAAACTAAAACCGAGAGGGCAGAAGCGAAACAAAATCAAACAAACTAACGCAGAGGAAGTGGACTGGAGGGCTCTATTGGGGTTTCTCCCGCCCCTAAGCAAAGCTCTAGTTAGAGAATCTCTCAGCGCTATAAAGAAAAAGGAATTTAAAACGTAAGTCTGAAAACAGAGGAAAAGGAGATTAATCCCATTATACTAGAACACGAAAAGTTCCCAAGGGACGCTGTCTGTTTGATGAATCTGCCCAATGAAGACAAAACGGACACACATTCCCAGGCCTAGAGACAAGCACAGTAAATCACCAATCCATGTGACGCGTGATGAAATGGAAAGGGAAAAGTTCATGTACCGGCAAAGAATTGGCAGTCAAGGCGGCCCTGGGGGCGGCGAGGAACAGTCCGCGAGATCCTGAGAGGAGCTGAAGACATCGAGAGACAGAGGTTGAGGTTGGTGGTAGTGCTGAGCTGGAATTAGATAAGAGCAGGCAAGTAGGGAGGCGGTGGTGGAAGGCGGTAGCCGGCGGCGAGTTGCGGGGGAGGGAAAAAGAGGATTGGAGCTCGGGCAGAGGAAATGAAGCCATGTTGGGGATCTTGTTGGGCTTCGGATAAGACAAATAGTCAATATTTTCCGGCGGCTTTTTTGGCGGCGGAGGCAGAGCCGAGAAAAGAGGAGGAGACAGAAGGCCTAAGAGGTTACTATTGCTGCCGCCCCACCGGATATGGAGATGCTCCGCCAGCCACCTGCTGATATCTCCTATGTCCGAAACGGGCCGTTTCTGTGTGCTCTCGAATTGGAACCGGTGACGTTTTACAGGAGGGAGATTTTTTTTTGTTTCCCCTTCTATTCCGCCATAAACCACACATAAATAGGAGAAATTTTTCAGTGTTCCTGCACCACCAATGCCTATTTGTTCCAATTCCATTCGGTGCTGGTCATTCAACTTGTCGCTAGGAAAATATCACGGCGTTTTTGCCAGGTGGATTCCGTTAGCCCCGTTAACTCTCTGTCAAAATTTAAAAATCCCGGAACAGAATGTGAAATTTATTTTAAAATTATAAAAAGGACGAATGCCCGGGTGTTAATTACATACTAAGACCACAATAATTTTAACACATTTCAGGATCAAATACTCAACTAGAATCATACAATTTAATAAAAAAATTTATATACATTAGTTAAAAATTGTAAACAATTACTGAATTTTAATCATATAATTCATTAACAAATTAATTGTATAATTTTTCATATTGACTTGTATAACTTTTCTTTAAATCTTGATTTATATTAAAAATTATTAAGGTCATAACACGTAATTAATAATATTTAATAGTAATCTTTTTTTATAATTCTACCATTTTTTTTTAAAGCCTTTCCTTGCAGCCTACTAACAACTCGTGCTTAGGTTGATATTGTTGCCTTTTCCTTGACAAGTGTCGTCACCATCACTTCGCTCCTAGCAATCAGTTTTTCGAAAACTGAACTTAATTAAGAACAGTGGCTTACTAGGTATCGAAGCATTTGAGGAAGGTGCCACAGTCGCGAGTCTTGCAGTTTCTGGCAATCAGTGGTCGAAGAACTTTCAAATTCTCTATTGTTGCATGTTTTTCTCCCCTCTTTTTTTTTTTTTTGATTTCAATTTTGAAAATTGCTCTTGGTACCGGAAATTTGTATTGAAGTTCTCTGGGTTGTATTTTGAACTTTTGGTAAACTATTTTGGATAGAGGTACAAAACTCTAATGTTTAGATGACAGGGAGTTTCAGTGGCTTGTTTCTCTGTGGCATCACCTAATAGGGGTGTGCATAAAAAATGCTCAACCTTACCCGCCCGCGACCCACAGTTTTTTTTAATTTTTTATTATATCAATTTAAAATATTTATAACTTGCTGTTATGCGAACGGGTGGTGGGTCAAATTTTTTTAAACCCGCAATAACCCAACCCGAACCCAATGATGTATGTTTTCCCATATGTTTTTCACTTTTACTCTCCTCTGTTTATCTAAAACCCTACCCTTTGAAGTTCTCTTCTCTCTTGTCACCGCACGCGAGTCCCTCTCGCCTTCTCTACCCCCCTCGTCGTCACCGCTCCCTCTTTCCTGTCGATCGTGACAATCGCGGAGGGAGAGTTTCGCTATTGTCTCGTAGGCGCTGGATCGATTGCAACTCGTCGATCGGCCTCTTGGTCGATTATTCGATTCCAAGCTCTCATAGTCTTACTTGCTCATCTCATCTGAAAGGTAGGAACCCTTTATCCATCTCAATTTTCGTAATTTTGCTTGTGTTCTCACCACCTCTTAAGCCATAGTTTTGTTACTATTTTTTCTGTTCGATTCAGACGGGCTCTGGCACAATTCATGTGACTTTCAACTCTCCTTGCTCACGCGCCTCTGCTATCAGTCTTCTCCGTCTCTCGTGACAGCCTTACTCCCGGTATTCTAGTTATTGTTACTAAAAATGTGCTACCTGTGGTTTCCACTAATCAAAAGCTGTGTGTGTGTTTCTATTTTTGGCAAATGGGGTAAAGGAGTCGGGCTATAGGCTTTTAAAGACAAAAGATTGTTTTGAGAGACCACCTACTCGTGAAAGCTGCAAGAACTCTGAAAGGGAGCAGATGAATAGTAACTGTGTCAGCTAGGAACATGAGAAAAAGCAAAAGTGGGAACAATGGATTTAGGGGTTGAGTTTGGAACTTTGGAATAAATTATTTGTGATTTTCCAAAAGTTTAATTTTGTTGAATTGATTCACCAGAAGTGTTTTTAATTGATAAACAATTTAGGAAAAGTATTCTTTCCATTGACATTGGTAATTTTGTTTTTAATCTTTTCCAATTTTTGTCACTGGCATTGATAGTGGAGATCCTCTCTTGCATCATGTCCTGGAACTACTTTCATTTACTGGGTTTTCAGCTCATTTTACTTTCTCGTTCTTTATTTTTCACATCAGTAATTTGGTGGCATTTAAGGAGGTGGCAGTGAAGAAAACTAGTACTCCAAAACTTGTAAACTTAGTGAAGTATAAGGCTAGTAATGTTACATGAATCTCCTATACATAAAATTCCAGTTGCTTCTCAATTTTGTTAAGATTGTCATTCTTGTTATTCTAGTTATTATTACTAAAAATGTGCTACTTGTGCTTTCTGTACAGATTCTACTTGTTTGAGATCTATTGATTGTAGTTTCATTTGAGATCTTATTTGAGATATATTGATTGTAGTTTCATCTATTGAGATCTATTTATTTGAGATCTATTTCATTTCCATCGTGGATGATTATTTTGGCGTAACACCTACTGCGGGTTTTACTTCAGTGTAGATTAGGTGCCTGAAATCACGAGGGTGATGTTCTTATGTTAGTTTTTTGCGAGGGGGCAAGGAATATGTATTTGGCTCTAATTATTATTATTATTATTATTATTATTATTATTATTATTATTATTATTATTTAACTTAGGTTGACATTGAAGGAACTCTTCTAGATTTGAATACTAATGTGTTGTAGATAAGCTGGCTGTTACCCATAACTTTGTTTTTCCTTTTTCTTAAATATTATATTATGAATGTGCTTTAGTTACATCCATAGCTGTTAGAAAATCACAACTTTCAAATTCGAAGGGCTTGTTTTCTTCCTTTTTCTTTTTACCTTTGGGGTCATATCCATGAGGGGAAAGGTTGGAGGAGATGAG